TATTTATTTGTTTATTTATTTATTTGTTTATTTATTGGTACATTGAATTTATTTTGTTTTAAAAAATTGCTGGGGATAAGAGGACCCATCCAGGGCTAAAACAACCAGTCTGTGGAGATGACTCTGTGTAATGATCCTCCTTCTTAGTGAGTCACCTTAGGTATGACAGCTATGATAACTATCTGTGGCCTCGTGTCAAACGCACCTGAAAAACCAGACCTTCCTCCCGTCACAGTGCGTCACAGTGAAAGAACTCCAGCAGCCAAACCCAGGAGGAGAAAAACAGGAAAACCCTGAACTGTTCTCAGATAACTGAGCCCTGCATCAGAGTCTCCATCAGTATAACTTTTCTCTTTTTCAGAGTCATGAGATTCTTTTCATGTTCTGAACGTTACTGTCGACACTGAAACATCAGACCATAGTTTTACACTAAGATTGTAACTGAGTTCTTCTCACTTTGTTCAGACCGTGTAAATAATACTGAACCTAATCTCAGTGTGTTCTGGTTGAGTCTGAGCACATCTAATTTAACTCATCGGTTAGCTGTGGCAGCCATCTTGAAATAGATTAACTTCTTGTGCATGAAACAATGACTTTCTGAAAGCTTTCTTAAAATACAAGAGATGTATTTCTAACAGACAGCAAGGGTTTTCTTCAGTAAGTAATGACAATATTTTAAAGGGGATACTCTCATCATTTTTAAAACAACAAATAATTTTGCACATGAGAAAGCAGTCTTTATTCAAACTAAAGTGCACAAATCGGATTGTTGCAGTTTCATGATGAAAAATGCATTGTTTTGTCATCATTTTGTTGGGTCTTTCATCCCCTTCTTGTCACCCACCTCCACATGAGACATTTCTGCATGATTGGTCAGACGTTTGGGGAGTGTTTGTTTTATGTTTAAAGCACCATTTTGCTTCAACTCGCTTCCAGAAACTGACTGTTGTTCCCGGAACTTTAACCGGGACAGATTTGTGGACAAAGAATGTTGGGTAGGTTTTTTTTTTTTTTCAGGAGTGTACTCCAGCAGGAAAAACCCTTGAACAGCAACATGCTGCAGAGGGAAAGGTTTCCCAGGAGCTCGGCTCAGTGTGTCTCAGCAGCAATGAAAGGTGTGTGTGAAAATGACGGACAAACAACCATGTGACCGTGTCGTCCGTTCGGCTGCAGATCAACAAAACTGAGCACTTAAGTTTTACATCTTTATAAAATAACTCCTCCTCAAAAACACACTAATGTGAAACGTGTTAGTTCATATGATCCTCTACATGTTTGTTGACCTTCAGGACAACTGGGCTTAGCCCTCCCTAATATTTACAATAAAGGTAAGATCATTAATGTTTTAGCAATGTTTTCACAGATTGTTTTATATTTTATTGAAATGTTAAACAGCCTCAGTTCCAAACAGCTATAAAAAAAACCCACAGAATTCTTTTAAATGGGCTTATTTTTTACAGCTCAAACAGAGCAGCAGCTGATTTCATTCATGTTTTTTGAGGAAAGTAACTGACAGATGTTAGGCCACACCCCTTTGATTGGCATCTCACTGTCTATTTTTGTTCTGTCTGAATGCCGAAGAGCAAACAGAACATGACGCGTGTTTGAAAACTGCAGATAAAACCAGTATTAGAAAATATGGAGTATTAGCATAAATAGTATTTATACTATTTAAACATAGTATTTCCCTGACTGTTTTAAGAGAAAAATCCACTGAAGTCATCTGAGGAAAGTAGCTGAATAAATCTGCACATTAAAACACTTCACCTTTCTTTTATTACTCCTGCTCACCTTACTTCTCCACAAACGTATTTTGTGCTTACCAGTCCTAATCTTTTCAGTACTGGACGGTGCCAGGACCGGATTCTGTGTGAGGGAGAGTGCACAACATGCTGCAACATTAAGGCTTTTAGATAACACAGCATTCCACTCAGATACACAGGAAAAATAATGTTTTGTTGGATCCTAACACACACACACACACACACACACACACACACACACAC